AAGTCACAAAGGGACTTTCAATAGGGAGCACTAAGGGACTTGCAGTATTGAAGTCATGAAGGGACTTTCAATAGGGAGCAGTCACTAAGGGACTTAAAGTAGTGAAGTCATGAAGGGACTTTCAATAGGGAGCAGTCACTAAGGGACTTGCAGTAGTGAAGTCACAAAGGGACTTTCAACAGGGAGCACTAAGGGACTTGCAGTAGTGAAATCACGAAGGGACTTTCAACAGGGAGCACTAAGGGACTTGCAGTAGTGAAATCACGAACGGACTTTCAATAGGGAGTACTAAGGGACTTGCAGTAGTGAAGTCATGAAGGGACTTTCAATAGGGAGCAGTCACTAAGGGACTTGCAATAGTGAAGTCACAAAGGGACTTTCAATAGGGAGCACTAAGGGACTTGCAGTAGTGAAGTCATGAAGGGACTTTCAATAGGGAGCAGTCACTAAGGGACTTGCAGTAGTGAAGTCACAAAGGGACTTTCAACAGGGAGCACTAAGGGACTTGCAGTAGTGAAGTCAGGAAAGGACTATCAATATGGAGCAGTCATAAAAAGACTAGCAGTATTGAAGTCATGAAGGGACTTTCAATAGGGAGCAGTCACTAAGGGACTTACAGTAGTGAAGTCAGGAAGGGACTTTCAATAGGGAGCAGTCACTAAGGGACTTGCAGTAGTCAAGTCACAAAGGGACTTTCAATAGGGAGCACTAAGGGACTTGCAGTATTGAAGTCATGAAGGGACTTTCAATAGGGAGCACTAAGGGACTTGCAGTAGTGAAGTCACAAAGGGACTTTCAATAGGGAGCACTAAGGGACTTGCAGTAGTGAAGTCAGGAAAGGACTATCAATATGGAGCAGTCATAAAAAGACTAGCAGTATTGAAGTCATGAAGGGACTTTCAATAGGGAGCAGTCACTAAGGGACTTGCAGTAGTGAAGTCAGGAAAGGACTATCAATAGGGAGCAGTCACTAAGGGACTTGCAGTAGTGAAGTCATGAAGGGACTTTCAATAGGGAGCAGTCACTAAGGGACTTAAAGTAGTGAAGTCATGAAGGGACTTTCAATAGGGAGCACTAAGGGACTTGCAGTAGGCATAGGCCACGAAAGAACTTTTAATATAGATAGTCAGAGGCTATCAAAATATAAGGAAGTTCGGGGAACTTTGCTGTATAGTCGGAGACTTACAGAGAATATAGGAGTCTCTAAATGACTTTAAACAGCTGTTAAGTTCCTGCAAAAATCAATGCAGCCATGTTCCTGTTTTTAGTTTTCTACATCACCTTATAATCTAGCTCTTTTTTTTTCTCTCGCTACTTTTCCTTTTGATTGTCCTTTTGGTTATTTTGTTTTGATTTGTAAAAAAAAAAAAAAAGAAATTTAAATTTGTATGCCTCTTGTGATTGTCTATTGTTGTTGTTATCCATTGCTGTCATCCCTCTTTGTTAAGAAATGAGGTCTCTCTGTGGAGTGCTTAGTTTATTAAAATGGCAGAGGGAGGATATTGTCCAGAGGTTTCACAGACAGCTGCTTTGTGTGGGACAGGATGGCTCTGACCGCACCCTGGAAAAATAAAATAAAATAAAAATACAGAGCGGTCAGACAAAAAGTATAACTGAAAGAAAAAGGACAAGAAAACTTTACTCTAAACAGCTGTGGGTGAACATTTTTCTTTTTTGTCTTGTTTAGCTTTATGATGAAAAAAGCTGATGAGCAAAATTGAAATGGCTGAATGTCTCCTGCAATCCCCGGGCGCCTTAGATGGCAGCCCTCTGCTTCACGTGTGTGCTCACGTGCAATGGAAAAAATGCAGAGAAATAATTTCTCAATTGGGGATTACAATAAATAAATAAAAATATATAAAAGAAATTCTTATAATGACGATGGTCCAAGGACTGAGACAGACAGACGCCAGATTAGTAATCACAACATGTGACGTGGTCCTAATTCCTAATGATCCGGTGAAACTGTTTCCTTGTGACCTGACCTGTAGATCTGAAAAGTGGTTGGACTAAACTTGATACTGTTGTAGTATTGACTCTTAATTTGTTAGTTTTTCTCCAACAAATTCATAATTATGAAACGTTTTGCAAAATTAGCACCAACATACCAAATGTTCTTTAGAACCAATAACACAATATCATTTATTCACACACTCTGATAAAAACATGAAGCTGATAAAAATAAATTCTTCTTCTTCTTCTATTCATTTTTTTTTATTTTTACAAAAACTTTAAATGTCATTCCAGAGCTTACAAAGAGCTGCTGCTGTTGTTGTGCGTGTCCCTTGCTCAACTAAATCCCTCGATTACCCCGAGGCAGATTTAAACCCATCTAATGTAGACCCGCGGCCTGCAGCAGGTCCGAACCAGGCTTGGACAGTCCAATGAGACCAAGCCAGCCCCACTTTTGTCTTGGGTTCTTCTTTCAACACAGCCATTCAGCAGAAGTCCTGTGGATGTAGGTTAGATCACACGCCTGGCTGCATTGGACCTACACACACAAACTCATAGTGTGTGTGTTTGTATCAAAGACTATCAGGCTGGAAGTGTGTGGATGTTTGAGACCTTGATGCGCACAGAGACCCAGAATCACCAAAGCATAGCAATGGTTTTAGATTCAGTGAATTTGCTTACCTCTCAAAGCCCTCACAAAAGGAGACATGTGCCTCAAACTCCACTGCAAACCAAACATTGCCTTTTTTTGTTGCCACAGTGTGATCACCACTAAATGTGGCAATATACATACATTTAAAATGGTAAATAGACTATACTTATATAGCGTCTTTCTATCTAATCAAGATACTCAAAGCGCTTTACAACACAATTTGTGCCCTGATTTATCTCCATACACACATTCATACAACACTCTACTACATCTCTACAAAGATAATCTGAATCTGTAGAGACTAATCAGAGCTTTAGATCAATGGTCCCCAACCCCAGGGCCATGGACCGGTCTGTGGGTCAACTGGTACCAGGCCACATAGAAAGAATATATATCTTACTTTATTTCTGTTTTATTTAGTATCTGATTCTGAATGATGTTTTATTTTGTAAAATTATCGGATTCTCTCCGCCACATCTGTCTATGACTCACTCTTGACGCAGGTCAAGATGCTTGCCTCGGTCACATGGCTACCTTCTTAAAGAATCAGAATAAACTTTATTATCATTGCACCGAGATACAACGAGAACATGTACGTACAGAGGAAGACCCAGGACACGCTGGAGGGACTACATTTCTCGGCTGGCCTGGGAACGCCTCGGGATTCCCCCGGAAGAGCTGGCCCAAGTGGCTGGGGAGAGGGAAGTCTGGGCCTCCCTACTTAGGCTGCTACCCTCGCAACCCGACCCCGGATAAGCGGAAGAAAATGGATGGATGGATGTACGTACAGTCATCCCAAAGATGGGCGGAGTGCATGAAGGTGCTGCTATAAATAGCGCAGCCTCTTATTCTTATTCAGAATAATATTTTGCTTAGACGAGAAAAGGAAAGAAAACATGAGGAGAGACGGTATAAAAAAAAGATCTCTCACGCCGTGTCCTAGACAGGGCACGATTTGAGGCATCAAACAAACCTCCCACAGCAAAGCAACATGAACAGACGTTATACATGAACATATAGGCCGTGAAGACATTAAGGGAAAGTCGTACCATAGTCCAGAGGCCCCCCCCCCCCCCCCCAGCCATTGTCCAGATAAGAGGTGACGTTCATCTTCAGCTCAGTTGAGGTTCTGTCACATGTCCTTGGGGAAGGGAGGGGTGAGGAGACAGACAAAGCATCTTTGTAGTTTTCAAAACATTCCAGGAGGAGTTGAGATAAGTCCGGCGTCAAGGCCACAGTTTGGGTCAGGCAGAACTCATGAATTGTTGTTTCTGCGTTTTTTAAAGTCTTGCTGGTACATATTCCTCTGATGGAAACTCCAAACAGCCGAATTGATCCTTTACACCAAAAGTCGAACTCACAGCTTCTCCAAGATTATTCCCACCTTCATGTGTGCTGTTATAGAGTCAGCAGTCCTGATAACAGCTGCTGCAGCTCCCTGCAGCTCCCTGCTGCAGCTCCACATAATTCAGCCTGAGTGCTGTCAAGCTTTGACACATCCACACGAATTTATAGATAATCCAGAATTCACCAGCCAAACAGCAAAATAACCAGTTGTCATCATGAATCCAATTTGTTTCTGTCGAGGTAAGAGGGTCTTCCTTACCCTGACTCCTGTCGGGAGAAGCTGATCAATTTTGTTGAGAGACCAGCTGATCCTTCGAATTAGGAGGTGTGCAGAAAAAAAGAGGCTCTTTAAGGTTCACAGGATGAAAGCGTGCAAGCAGGGAAGCGGGGAGGAGCCCAGGGAGACACGTCTGGCTTCACCGGAGTGAACGGTGAGCGGTCACCTTCCGCCAGTAAGCGGAATCCAGTGTGTCTATGCAAGAAGAAGATTAACTGCTGGAGATAGCAAATGACAGCGGCCTTAAAAGTATGTATGATCAGTTATGTATAGGGCTCAAAATAACACATTACCATTAAATATCCAAATAAATGTTGTTAAAAGACAAAGTTGTTACAATCTTAAGGGGATAGAGATATTTGTCAAACCAACATTCAGAACTAGTCTGAAGGGAAGGTCTACCTCAATCCAAGGAGTTGGATTGTGGAATGGTCTAGAGAGTGATGTGAAAAATGCCAAGTCAATGTGTACATTTAAGAAAAAGATCAAAGCTGAATTGTTAAAAAAGTATATATGAAGTAGATTAGTGTGTGTTTTTTGTATTAGAATTAGAAAAATTAGAAAGTTATTCATTTTGTTCTGTTACTTGAAGATAATTGTCTGAAATAATTGTTTGAAAAAAGGGGCAGATATAATAAGATTTTTTCTTCTTTCTGCTGCCTTTCATTTTAAATCTCTTGTATCTTTTTATATATTGTTAAGGAATTGTTTTGTACTTTTTTTAAATGAATAAACTTTATACCATACCATACCATACCAACTTCCACCTTATTTCTTAAGGCTGGCTGCTCATATCATCACAGTCCCTGTGACCCACATCTTCAATCTCTCCATAAGACAAAACTCCATCCCAGACACTTGAAAACAGCCTTTGTTCTTCCTTTGCTGAAGGGAGGAGACCCCCCCCTCACTGAACAACTATGGACCAATCTCTAAACTCTGCATTTTAGCCAAGGTTCTAGAAAAACTGATAAACTCTCAAATCAAAAATGACCTGGACTCATTTAACATCTTACCTCCACATCAATCTGGTTTCAGGAAACAACACAGCACAACCACTGCTTCACTGAAGGTTCTTAATGATGTTGTTGAAGCACTGGATGCTAAGGATTATTGTGCTGCACTTTTCTTAGACCTGTCTAAAGATTCTGACACTGTGGATCAGAACATCTTGTGTCATAAACTCTCAGAAATCGGTTTCTCAGATCACACCATTGGTTGGTTCTCTAACTATCTTTCAGACCAGAGGCAATGTGTTCAACATAATGGTACTTCCTCCAGTTATTTAACAGTCAACAATGGTGTACCACAAGGCTCAGTCTTAGGACCCACCCTCTTTACAATCTACATACATAATGTAGGTAAAAACATCCCTAATGCATCCATACATTTCTATGCTGATGACACAGTTGTTTATTGTCGAGCTAAAATAGTTGCTAAGGCTTTCCAGCTTTTGAAATCGACTTTTGACATCATCCAGACTGATTTGTTTCACCTCAAACTGGTGCTAAACGCTGACAAAACCAAAGGAATGCTGTTTTCAAACAGGAAGTCAATCCCAGCAGTTCTTCCTCTGATTTTATCCTCAAATGGTGTCCCTATTGAGTTTGTTGATTCCTACAAATATTTGGGTATCTTGGTCGACTCACATCTCTCTTTTAAGCTCCACATGGTAAACTTAGTAAGGAAAATGAAAATTAAATTTGGTTCCTTTTTCAGAAACAGATCCTGTCTAACCCTGAATGTTAGGAAACACCTTGTATCTGTGACTTTCCTTCCCTCCATTGATTATGGTGACATTATTTACATGAACACTCCTACAAGAACCCTGCAGATGTTGGATGCTGCAGATGTTGGATGCTGCAGATGTTGGATGCTGTCTATCATGGTGCACTAAGATTCATAACTGGCTGTAACTGCCGTACCCACCACTGCACCCAGTATTCACTGGTTAACTGGTCACCATTAACTTCACACAGACTCTCTCACTGGTACATCTTCATATTTAAATCACTTCCTGGTCTGCTGCCTTCATACATCTCCTCCTACATGTCTCTGCGTGAGTGCAGCTACAGCGTGCACTCTCAGGACATCATTACCTGCAGTGTTCCCTCAGTGAGGACTGAACTAGACAAAAGGACCTTCTCCTATTCCGCTCCTGTTTCCTGGAATATCTTGTAAAAAGATCTGAAGCTCTCGACCTTTGACCTCTCTAAGTGGCTTCAAACATCTGTTAAGTTCCTGCAGATGTTCCTGTTTTTAGTTTTCTACACCGCCTCGTAATCTAGCCGTTTTTTGTTACAGTTTTTTAATACCATTTTATTTCAATTTGTATGCATCCTTTATGGTTGTCCACTGTTGTCATCTTTCTTTGTTAAAATCAGGTCTCACTTGTAAATGAATCCCCGAGGCTCAGTGGGATTAGCCTGTATAAATAAAGGTTGGATAAATGAAATACCAGTTTTTATGCCGGTCATATCATTTTATTTTGTTGTATTTATCCGTCACACCGTCAAGGCCGGTCTGTGAAAATACTGTCTGACATTCAACCGATCCGTGGTGCAAAAAGGGTTGAGGACCGCTGTTTAGATCACATTCATACACCGATGGGTCACACATCAGAGCCAGCGAGGGGTTCAGTGTCCTGCTCAGGGACACTTCAACATGTGATTGCTGGTGGAATTGAACCCCCAACTCTCCAATTGCAGGACTGTAACCACTCAGCCACAGCTGCCCGTGTGGATGAGTGGTTGAGTGACTTTAGTAGCTAAAGAAAACCTGCTTAATGCATTTTTATAAATCAATGCCTCAAAGAACAGGGGCCTCATTTACAAAAGGTGCTTATAAACAAAAAGAAAGCACATCACACAAAACAAGGCTTGCATATGCATGTTTCTGCAAGTTTTATCAATCTGTCTGTCTGTCTGTCTCACACACCCTAAGATTTGAATGTAGATATAAACCTAAATATTTAATTTCTGGGAAAAGTTGTAGTTTATTTCCTAATCCGATACATCTAGTTGTAGACCTGAGAAGCAAGCTTGTAAGTTTTCCCTTGACATCTGTTAGCGTGCTAACAACCATTTCTTTGGTTTCAGTAAAAATTTATTCAACCTTTATTTAAACAGGTTAGTCCCATTGAGCCACGAGGACTCATTTACAAGAGAGACCTGACCTGAACAGGACCCAATATAGAACCCTGTGGGACACCAGTTGAAACACATAAAAATTCAGATTCATAATTTCAAATTTTAACAAAACAAAACAAAAAAAAGTCGGAACTCACAAAGTTAAAGAACCCCAAAAAATTATTTCTGAGTCCATTAGTAAGTGTAACATACTTAGCATAAATTAAGGAGCACACCCTAAAAACTCTGCCTTTGTTCTTTATCTTTTCCATAAACTCTGTGGCAATTTCAGTGAAATGATTAGGCCTAAACCCAAAATGGAAAAATGCAACTGGTGCCTTCATGTACATTTGTTATTACACAGTTGGACTTGAGACTTGAACACACTCCAGCAGATGTTTCAGCTGTTAACTCACCCATCTGTAGCTCGCTGATGGTTTCCACCAGAGACCAGTCCGGACTGTAACCACAGTGAGATTTGTCCAGCAGACTGTCCAGAACCTGAATGACACAAGAAACACGGATACTTCCTGCACTGGCAGTACACAATCTTCAGCTCACGATGATGCTCTGAGTAATATGTGTTGTTACCAAACCCCTCAACAGAAAGGTTAAAGGATACGTTGGGTCCTTCACGTGTTTTACACCCAAGTCATGACATATTACTGATCAAATGTACTGACTGAGTGGTACCACCTGTAGAAAAGCAGGAGTGCTGTCAGTTTGCTGCTCTGAGGCAGGCAGGTGTGTTTTAACACAACACAAGGTGGAAAGAGATCACTGGGAAGAGTCAAAGGTCACTGCAAACTATTTGGAGACCATTAGTCCACAATTAAAAACATCTTCAAGTGTGAAAAATGTTCAGGACTGTCAGACTTGGCAGAGCCAAGCCAAAGGAACAGAATTACTTTTATTGTTGTGTACAGTCCAGATACAAGTACACGGTGAAAACCACCAATGAAGACACTGCAGGAGTTCAGAGTTCCTAAGGCCCAGGGGTAGGGGGGTGGCAGAAGGTTGAACCCGAACGGTTCAGGGTGCAAATAAGAAGCAAAAACCCAAGAGCTTTGTCTGACACCCTACAGACCTCAGTTAGCAGGCTAAAGGTCAAAGGTCATGATCCTCAGAAGCAAACAGCTCCTCCCAACTGTCAGCACGGTGGTGGAGGATTGATGGTTTGGGCTCCTTGCAGTCACTGAGTGGACCATGACATCCTCTGTAGACCACAGGGTTCTGGAGTCAAATGCCCAACAGCTGAAGGTTGGACCAAACTGGGTCCAACCTTCAGCTGCAGTGGGATCTTCAGAGAGCTGAGCAGAAACCTCAATGAGGCTCTTCAATGTTGCTTCACAACAATGGAAAGAAGAGTGGTCCAGAACTCTTCCACAACCTGATAAAGTCCTACAGAAAACCACTGAGAGTTCTGCTGTTGAAGGAGGTTCTACAGGAGACAGAACACTATGTGGACCAGATTGTCCACACCATTACTGAATCTTAACCCCGTCTTTTTCAGCTAATCCCACAGAGCGATACGTCGTGTCTCGTTAATGAGTTTAGGACCTATGGAGGAACAGAAAACCCTAAAACACCAGGACTGTTCCATTTGAAAATGACTAATCCCTGTAAATATCTGAAGAGAGACGAACATTCTGTGGACGTCATACCTGTCTGACCGTCTGTCTCTCGTCCACCATCATGGTCTTGGAGCTCTCATCAGACAGATGGACCCGAATCACCAGCTGAGAAGAACACCCAGAGAGGAGAAGATCAGCATGAACCTCCTTCGACCTGCCTGAAGGTGTAGGAACAGTATTCTGAACGTATCTGTGTTGTGTGTAAACATGACCGACGTGAAGGTGGGGGGTCGTCTGGAGCCCTGGACATAGGCTCAATGGAAACTGACTTATAACCTGGTTTAGTAACTGGTTTGTCTCTTGCACTGATGCTACAGATTCAGAGGATCGTGGAGAGATGTAGTGTGTGTAGACTCCTGAGTAGATTTGGATCTTTTGAACTCCTAATTTCTCAGAACTAGTTTATTCAACAAAATCAGGTAGGGGAAATTAAAAATGCTCACCAGGCAAAAACTCTAGAGGACAAAACTATTGGTGGTTAATGGGGGGGGAACTATCAACTTTTAATGGGTGACCATTGCCCCCCCCCCCCCCCCCGACCCCCTTTATGGCACCACTGTCGACCACTTGCAGTCCAATAAGCCCAGACAGATGTTTAGCAACAGGACTGAACAGCTTCACGTCGTCTCCTGAACAAGAGTGCTGCTGATCTCACATTACACTTCTGTCAACAGACACAGTAATGCACGAGCAAGACCTTGTTTTAACTTTGACCTTGATATGTGACCTTGACCTTGAAGCTGGGGGG